AACCCACACTAAACCAATGGACACTGGAGAACAAACAAAAAATGTAATATACAAAATACCATGATAATGTAATAAATTTTATATTGGTGAAACATCTAGACCGTTAAATGTTCGAATTAAAGAACATAAAGATTATTTAAAAAAGGGCGATTTTCACAAATCTAAGGTTTGTCAGCATTCATGGAACATAGGGCACAGAGTCAGTTTTATCAACGCAAAAATTATAATGAAAAAAGCGATAACCTCTAAAAGAAAAAATAAAGGAGGCTTTTTAATATAATCTAATAAAAATAAATGTATTGCTCATGCATATGTAGGGATTAGTAATGTATAGTAATCGCTTCTTTGATTTCAAAGAACATAACATAAATAAATATAATGTAACATAATATAATAACAATATAATATAATAACAAATATAATAATAAAATATAATGTAAACATAAGTAAACATTAAAAACAAAAAGTAAGTTTGAAAGTTTTTGGTTTTACCGTATTAAGTAATTGAAGTCAGGAAGTAATTGTGTTAATTCTGAAGTTTAAATTGATATAATGTTATTTTAACAGAACGTTAACGGTTTTTATATTAAACTGTTAAAAATGGAGGTTTATCATGTCAATTCCGTTTATAATGCGTGAATAAATGGATAGCATTGAGCCGAGTGAATAAAAACTAAGCTTTTGCTTTTAGTATTAAGTAAAAGCTTTAGCTTGTACTATGTAGATTTAGCTTTTGCTAATAGCATTTGCTGAAATTGAAGCGAATAACCTTTTGCTTTTACTTACTAGCAAAAGCTAGATATTTTAAGTATTTACTTAAAAATCTTATTTGGTAAATCTAACTTTAAAAAAACATGTTTATATACTGATAAGGCCTATATTTATATTTTTATGACTTGAATGGTTTTCTGTAGGAAATTTAATCCAAATTCTTGCCTTTTCAACTATTTTTGGTAAAACGTGAGATATCGTTTTATATATTGTTCTATGAACTGCTTCTTTTCCGATCCCTATTTGAAATCCAGGATCACTTAAAAATCGCAAAAATATTTGCATTTGTTTTTATGGACTCAATGCACCACCTCTAGTTTCCACTTTTGGCTCCAAAAAATGGTTATCTAACCACTCAACATTTTTTTCGCTAAATCTATACAGACCGTGGTATTCTTCGGTACGACTTTGTTTTCTTTCGGGATAAAATTTTACAGATCTTATATTCATAAAAGCAGCCATTTCTGCCAAACTGTTTAACAATACTAAATTTCTAAGCCAGGGTTTAACAAGCTTGCAAAAATGTAAGCTTTTCCTTAATATTCTTAGTAATTGCTTACTTTTATATTTATTAAACGGTTTTATTTAGCTCGACCCGTACGGTATTTATTTATTTGTTTGTTTATTTGGGTCAAAATTAGAAATTAAAATTTAAGTACCTTCCTGTTGTCAGATTGATCTGAAATTTGGTACACACCTTTAGTTCCGATGACAATACAATATAGTAATATCAATAACATTGTAAATCTAAGATGGCCGCCGGTACAAAATGGCGGATTTCATATTTTTCCACAATCCCCTCAATATGGGTATCAAATGAAAGGGCTACACTAGTAGAATACTGTGATTATGACAAAATTTAAAATCTTGGATTGTGTCCAAGATTGTGTGACGTTAGAAGGACAGATAAAATAAATAGGTGATTAGATGTACCTACGTAGTTAGCGGTAGCTTTACCACCCAAGTTAAGGTAATAGGTTAAAACGTGCTGGGGACTGTATGGCATTAGGGTGGCTAAAAATGTAATGTCGCAAGCGTTTTCCCCTCAAGATTGGGCGCCTCTTGTTGTATATTATAGCCTTGCCCCTCTACTGGACCTCTGGGGGGGTCGACCGTTAAAATGTCCATTACTCGTGGGAACAACATGGAAACAATAAATAAAAAAACAAACAAAAATAAAAACGAAACTGCTACACAACGAAAAAGAAGGCTCGAAAAGGCGAAAGAAAAGTATAGAACGAAACGTGCAAAAGAAAGTGAAAATGAAACCGGTTAGCAACAGAAACACCTCAGCAACATGATGCCAGGTTAATAGCACAACGTGAGAGACAAAGGCAGCTGGTAGAGTCAGAAACACCTGAGCGTCATTAGTCCAGGCTAGCATCACAACGTGACAGACAGAGAGAGTTGTTAGCGGCAGAAACATCTGAGCGTCATGAGTCTAGGCTGGCATCACAACGAGAGAGACAAAGAGAGTTGTTAGCGTCAGAAACACCTGAGCGTCATGAGTCTAGGCTAGCATCAGAACGCGACTGACAGAGAGAGTTGTTAGCGTCAGGAACACCTGAGCGTCAGATTGTAATAAATTATCAGGTAAAAAACCATGTAATAATGATGCACTAAATGAATTAAATAGAATGAGGAATATTCGGTAGGCATTTCCGTTAAATACTAAAAACTAGAAAATAAAAAATCGGTAAAAAAACTTTTAATTTAAACAGTTTTATCTTATGTGCACTGAAAACTAGAAAATAATAATAACAATTAGGTATTTTGAACTTCTAGTTCAGAAATATTTTAGTACTAGGCAGAATAGCTTTTAGGCATATTAGACTAAAATAAAAACGTGGGGCCCCTCTGAAATCCTACCTATGGCAAAGCATATCTTTATACTTTGGTAGATCATGAGCTCGGCGTTCGCTGGCGAAGCCGCCACGGCTGGTTATTGATTGTCAAAATCTCCAGTTACGATTATAGTAAGTCGATGCAATCCACACTTAGTATAGAAGAAAGTATTACAGCAATAGATAATGGGCCCCACGTTTTTATTTTAGTCTAATATGCCTAAAAGCTATATTCTGCCTAGTACTAAAATATTTCTGAACTAGAAGTTCAAAATACCTAATTGTTATTATTATTTTCTAGTTTTCAGTGCACATAAGATAAAACCGTTTAACTTAAAAGTTTTTTTACCGATTTTTTATAGTAAACACATTTAGCTTTTGCTAATTGTATATTTAGAATTACTACGCATTGGCTAGGAAAATGAAAGTTTTAGCTTTTACTAAATGTTTATTCACTCTGCCCATTATACTATACTATAAGATAGGTTTTTTAATAGTTTTTTTTTCACAGGGTTTTAGATTCTTTATTATGTCTTATTAGGTAGATCTGCGATTATCTTTTATATTAGTAATTTAATTCATTTCATAGAGTATTTATATTTGAAATATTTGTTCAGTGTGGAAAATCAATTAAAAAATGAATTCACAGATAAAAGTTTATTATAGGAATAAAAATTGTCCAATATTTTTGGGTAAATATTGGCACAAAACAAAAATTTATAAAATGTTACTTTACACAGCTGTTATATCAAAACCTATTCCAGGATAAAACTAATTTTAATGGGTTACCAATTTGTTTCAATTCTGAATCAAAATTGAAATTGAAAAACTCACAACAGTAAAAAATAAACTTTTTGGATATATGCGTTTAGCAAAAATTGTTGGAAGCGGCCATTAACACCTTTATATAAAAATACATTTAAATATAATATATTGTTGTTTTATTAGGAGTAAAAATAATACTTTTTGTGACGACATTGCAGGCGAGGCACAAGTCATTTTTACTCCGAATAGAACTTGCTATTTTTTTCAAACATCACAGATAATCTTTAAGCAATTTCCAACGTTTCAAATAATATAAAAATATTTAAAACTAATACGTTGTTAGTAATTATAATATATCGAGAAACTATTTGACTATTTATATCAGTTTAATAATACATATATCGTACTTTTGTTCTTAGGCGTAAAAGTGCTTTACTTCTATGCCTAGGCGTTAAAATGACTTTTTTATATTGTCAATCACGTAAAAATTAATACTTTTGTGACGTTTGAAAAAAAATATTATTTTGTTTATTAAAAATGCTGGTGGGTAGCAGAGAAATATATTTAGGAATGTGTTTAAGTAGGAAGAAGCCATTTTGAAGCAAGAGATGAAGAAAGAAGAGCATTATGCTTAAAGGGTAGGGGTTTCTTTCGGCCTCCAGCAGTTTAGAAAGTTGTAGGCCGGCGGAAACTACTTGCTCTTTTAGCAGAAAACAACATTTTCCATAGTAAACTGCTTATATACCTTTCCTTGTAGCTTAATTTAAATATGAATATGCATGATCTCTTAAAACGAGTTAAATATAAATGTATTATGTACATTAATTGCCACATGTAGAAAAAACCTTTGAATAAGAAGACTAAGGAAGGAGCATATCAAAAATCTTAGGTCCACCGCGATAGGACTCAAATATGGCCGACTTAAATTCCGGTTTATCAGTGCCGTTCTAATTTTATTTAAAAAATGTAAAACTATGATGTAGGGTAGACGTGGGGTAGACTCAATAATTTTTTTTTATTTTTCGTTGTGAATAAATGTTGGTAGTTATTAAAATTGTTATAAAAACATATTATTATAATAAAAATAGATAAGTTTTAATAATTATTTATTAACACAAACATCCGATAAGCTACTGAAGCAGGTAAGTCAAATTGACGTATCTAAATTCTTTGACATCTTATCTTTGACAAGTAGTAAATAAAAGCAAAAATGCAAGAAAAAATATATAATTAGTTAATTTAAATGAATTTCATAAATTATCGGTTTACTACGTGTATGTATATTATATAGTCACTTACTAGCGAAAAGTTGTTCCATTATTTCACTCGATTTTTGCCGAGATCTACCGCACGCTACACAACCAACTATTTTAGAGTCTTTTTCGATAAATCGCGATAGTGTCACTGTTAATTTAAGTTCTGCCACAATTTCCATCTAGATTTACTACCTTTATACAACTATCAGTAGTAGAATAAATAATGAATTCATGGATAGCATTATGCTCCTTCCTTAGTCTTCTTATTCAAAGGAAAAAACTATGAATAGACAGATTATTTAGTTCACAATTTGTAGGTATACGATATACATTTCCTAAATCTAAACCAAATTCTCTGTTCCAGGTCGAACAAACTCAAACCGTTCTGGCTGTCCATCACCGAAAAGGACACGCTGCCCATCCTCAATTTCCTGTCCGCCGCGCTGCTGTCCGCCGAGTACGACCGCGCCCTCAGCCGCGCCCTCGCCATGGCCGAGTGCCCGGTCGTACCGTTCTTCGGCGCGTTCCTGCGCGAGCTGCGCGAGATCCTGGCCAGCAACACGCCGGAGGGGTTGCCTATGCCCGGCGGGGGCAAGTCGTCCAAGGCGAGCCGCGCGGAGCAGGCGCAACAAAGACAAGTGGTAGGTGAGAGCAAGGATCGTTTGTTGTCAGAGATATAACTATATCTTGTGCTAGTTATACAGGGTGTTGTCTCAGTAGTGTAAAAATATAGGGTGTGATTCTTTCGAGGATTCTTTATACAGGGTGGTCCGAATTGTATTCCGGAATCTTCAGCAGCATATTCTGCAGATAAAAATAAGTAGAAAAGTTCGTATAAATGAATGTCCTAAAATGCATTGATTCGGAGATACAGGGTGTAGAAGTTTCATTTTTATTTCGATTTTGTCCAAATAATTTCTGAAGTGACGTCAATATTTGAATGAAAATTTGTGTCTGGGTGTTTTTTGACTTGAGAAATTTGATTTTGATGTCAATATGACTCCTACTAGTAGAGGGCGCCACCTACATATTTTTTAACTGATTTGAAGAGTAATAACTTTTCGTCCGTACCTGTATAAAACTACTGAGTAAAAAAATATATATTTACGACGTTTTCTGCGTAAAAAAGGTCCCTTCATAAAAATTGTAATTTTGTACAGGTGTACAGGTACGGAAGAAAAGTTATTACTCTTCAAACCAGTTAACAAATATGTAGGTGGCGCCCTCTACTAGTAGGAGTCATATTGACAGCAAAATCAAATTTCTCATGTCAAAATACTCCCAGACACCAATTTTTAGCCAAATATTGACGTTACTTCAGAAATTATTTGGAAAAAATCGAAATAAAAATGAAACTTCTACACCCTGTATCTCCGAAACTAAGCATTTTAGGACATACATTTATACGAACTTTTTTACTTATTTTTATGCGCACATAGCGCACATACTTTTTTTCAAAAACAATACCTTTTTAATCTGATTTATGGCCCAGAAAAATGCCAGTAAAATTCTATAAAAAAATACACTATAATATTAGTTATTGTATTTCTTATTTTACTTCGTTGTTTGAAAGTTTAAAAATAATCTTTCTTCTTATTTGTAAACGATATTGTTCTGTAGTATGTAAATAAATTAGTTCTAAATAGATGTACCAAGCAAGGGCTTTATTGGAGCTAATATAATAAACATTTAATCGTGGATATATTATTGAGCTTGTATGGCTTGTGAGCAAACAAGTTACTCATTGTAATGAAACGCTTTTGTGGAACGTTACACCAAGCATCCTACGTTATATCAACACTTACTAAGGTCATACTATCCCAATATTAGATCGCATATATAGTATTTACATTAAATTACTTTTTGAAACTCTTTATTTTATACTACTTTGGAGTACATTTTTATACCATACCAGTTTTCTCAATGGTTCTTGTCAAAAAGATCTTATATTATATAGGGTGAGTCCCAAAAAAGTGCAAATATTTTCAGGGGTGGTATATTTCGACCCCGGGAACACGTCTATGAGGTTTTTTCGTCAAAAAAAATTTGAAAATCGTTCTTTTTATTTTAAATTTTCCTGTATATTTTTGAAAACTTTCTAGAACTGCTTGTTCACTAAAAGGGATGTAAATACAGAAAAAGTCCGGTGGCTCTCAAAATTTGTTAAAAATATATATTTTTTTAATTTTCAAACTTATATAGGTAACGCGGTTATTTTGGACTTATTTGGAAAACGGTAAAGAGAAAATATGTTTCATTCATCGATATATACCAGCCCTGAAAATATTTGCACTTATTTAACTCACCCTGTATATAAATCTTTTTTAACTATAAGTAGTAGATGATTTGGAATGTGAAAAAAATTGAGCAAATTGAAAATTTAATAATTTCCCATCATAATATAAACTCTGAAAACGCAGAGTGGGGTTATAGTATATTGGAAAACCTTTCCTCGTATTTCCTTGCTTTGATCGAATGGGCCTCAATAAAAGGGTCGTCCCAGTAAGAAAGCTTTCGAAGGGCTAGCGAATTATAGAGATATATCCGGTTCAAAAAAGCGAAAAAGTAGGCAAGAGTGGGCGACAAAAAAACGTTATCCCTAGTTATTAGAACGGTTAAGGCGGGAAGGGTTTTGAGTGGCAAGAAAGGCCGAAAAAAACGGATTTATATTTCACGTTAATGCGTTTTTGGAAAATGTTTAAATGGTTATTTCGAGAGATTCTGGTTATCTTGATATTTTATTTGTTTTTTCTATCATAAGTATTTTTTGAAATTTTTATTTTTATTATATCAACAAAAATATAAATTTTTCAGAATCCTTTCAAATACTGCAATTCCGGAAACCAGTTGTTGCCACATTTATTTATTTCCGTACATTGTCATTTAGTTTTGTATTACGTGTTTTTGGTTTAAATGAATTGTGTTGTGATATTTTAAGCTTAAAAAAATTTATTAGCAGACCTTGCAGTCGAACATTGTTCTTTTTAGAACCTCTTTTAGTGCGAACTGTACAAGATAGCTTAATAGCCGTAAAAAACTCATCGCAACTTTATTAGAATATTTTGAACGGGAAAGCAGTAGTAATGGCCTTTTAAGTGTTGTTAAGGAGGTGAGTTTTGTTGATGTAAATAATAACTGTTTATATATTTATAATTAATTTATTTTTGTTTCCTAAAATAGTTTGATCAAAAGAAAATATATAAAAATTGGCAACGCTGTGCCGGTCAAGCTTAATCAGTCGACTAAAAGTTTATTTGGTATGAACTATATCTACATAATAAAATTATATAAGGATTCTTGCCACTTAACTGCTAATATAGAAATTTAATTCTACGCTGTGTTTGTCATAATGCGGATCAACCTGCTCTCACTACCGGTTTCGGAGCCCTACTCCATCATCAGGTGAGCTTGGGAGATCCACAAAATGACAACCACAGCGCAGAGATGGTTAATTCCGACTTGTCGGAAAGTATCGGTTAGATATTAAGTCCCGAACGGGAGATAGCGGCCTGCGTGCTATGGTAGTACTTTCGTACCACCGGGGCGCAACTATCGATAGTAAAAGGATGGTAAAAGGCTTTTTTTCAGGCAAGCCAAATTATAAAATAGAAAACAAATTTCTTGCAGTAGAGGTATATAATAAAATTATATAAGGATTCTTGCCACTTAACTGCTAATATAATTTTATTATATACGTATATATAATTTTATTATATACCTCTACTGCAAGAAATTTGTTTTCTATTTTATAATTTGGCTTGCCTGAAAAAAAGCCTTTTACCATCCTTTTACTATCGATAGTTGCGCCTCGGTGGTACGAAAGTACTACCATTGCACGCAGGCCGCTATCTCCCGTTCGGGACTTAATATCTAACCGATACTTTCCGACAAGTCGGAATTAACTATCTCTGCGCTGTGGTTGTCATTTTGTGGATCTCCCAAGCTCACCTGATGATGGAGTAGGGCTCCGAAACCGGTAGTGAGAGCAGGTTGATCCGCATTATGACAAACACAGCGTAGAATTAAATTTCTATATTAGCAGTTAAGTGGCAAGAATCCTTATATAATTTTATTATATACCTCTCCTGCAAGAAATTTGTTTTCTATTTTATATCTACATATTCATACTTTATTTCAACCTTCATTTCAGAAGTGATCTAAAAAATCACATCAGGTTTTTACTTGTTATTAAGTATCTTAAAGTGATCTTTCAAACCACTATTTCTATGTCATTTTACGACTATTTTATCCTCTATTTTATTCTGTTTTTGTTATTTGGGTTTAAATCTACATTCTTATCGATCAATGTTTCATTATAATATCAGTATCTTGAACTTTAAGCTATAATAAAACACTGTTGGTAAAACATACAATTTTGTTAACGATGTTTTTTTTCCAAAACATCGCAAGTAACATTCCCAAAACTTTTTTTCCCTTGGCAATCAACTTATTTTCTCCCTTTTATTACGAGAAAATGGGAAAACCCTTCACGACAAAAACAAAAAAAATCGTCGAAAAGAACTAAAAGAGCTACACGACAATTTTCTTTTAATCCTACGACACCTCGGGCTTGCAATTTGATTTGTATCTGTTTTTTTTCAGTTCATATCGGACTACAACGGCGAGGACCACCATTTCACCAAGATTGGACCCGGAGGGCTCATAAACCTGGAGAAGATCTATCGGACTCAGGCCGTCATGGATCACATCTCCACCTGTCACAAGCACTATCACGACCGGTATAGACTGAGTCCGACGGTCAGCCTCATAGACTACTTGAAGTAAGTAATCTTAATAAAATAGGATTTATAGTTATTTTTTATACAAGACGATAAAATGGTATTTTATCGTCGACCGAAAAGATTAATTCACGAGCGATGAAATCGCGAGTGAATTAATTTCGGGAGACGATAATGCAATTTTATCGTCGTGTATAAAAAAATCGAGGGGTAAACACCTGACCAAAATGTGTACACCAGAAATCCACTTTTGATAAATAAATCCAAGGAAATCCACAGAAATACACAGAAATACAAAGAAATCTAAAGAAATCCACAGAAATCCAAGGAAATCCACAGAAATCCAAAGAAATCTAAAGAAATCACAGAAATCCAAGGAAATCCAAAAAATATTAGATTGCATTTTAATTAGTAATATAATAATATAAAGTCGATATAGTATATTTCAGGAGATTTCTATATGACATATGACCAAAGTAATAAAAAAAATTGAGAGTGAGTTTTTTATGTGAATAAACGTCTATTTCACTTACTATTAATATTATGCGGTGATTAGTATTAGTTTAAACGTCAAAATGAAAAAGTAATAGACTTGGGACCATTTAAGCTGCAGTTTGACAGAATTTGTTATATAGTAAGTCATTAATACAAAGGTCTGTTTGAATGAACAAATAGGCAACTTTAATTGGTCCCAATTATACTTTATACTGTATACTGAAATAGTTTTATTTCATATTTAACATACAAGGATATTTTTATAGTATACTAGGAGGACACAACGAATATAATAACAAAAAAAAGAAGAATAAAATCAACAGGACCTTTGTATTAATGACTTACTATATAACAAATTCCGTCAAACTGCAGCTTAAATGGTTTCAAGAATATTACTTTTTATTTCATTTTGACGTTTAAACTAATACTAATCACCGCATAATATTTATAGTAAGTGAAATAGACGTTCATTCACATAAAAAACTCACTCTCAATTTTTTTTATTACTTTGACAATTACAAAAGACAATTTAGACATATTAATATGAAATACAGTAATAATTAATAAAATAATAACAAAAAAATACAGAAAAAGAAAGTGTATATATGTGAAAGAAAAGATAGATGAAAAAATAGATAACAATTAACGTTTGAAGAAATGAGTGTCCAGATGCCCTTTAAAACTTTGGAGGGAGTTGTGGAAGAGATCCAAATCTGTCTGTCTACTGATGTCGTTGAAACTGCAACAGGCACGATGTAGTGGAGCTCTGCTTGCAAGGACGGTACTTGGTGTTTTTGTATAAAACGTCGTTTTCATTCTAGTATTTACGGACGGTACATGCCAGCAAAGTTCACCGAGAAGAGAAGGAGAATCCAATAGACAATTAGACAACTTATATAGGAATATGATAGACGAACGAAGTCTATTATCCTTTAACGAAAGGAAATTCCATCTCTTCAACAATCGGCCGTGATCATAACCTTGAGGAGGATATATTCCATCCTCTTTAAAAAACAATAATTTTAAAAAACGACGTTGGACATTTTCCAGACGTTGCTCGTGGCTACTATAAAATGGAGACCACACCAATGCAGCATAATCCGCCTTGGCCTCACAAATGCGTTGTAGAGAGCAATAAGACACGGAATATTGTGGAAGTTCTTAGTTGTGCGTGATATAAAACCCAGTGTCTTCAGTGACGCTTTACAGATTTCCTCTACGTGATAGTTAAAACTGAGACGCTTGTCGATATAGACGCCAAGGTTTTTTACCATATCGCAGTTTCCCATTGTAATGCTGTCTATTTTGTAGTCGTATATGATTTCTTCGTGCTTTAGTGTTATGGACATTTTCTTACATTTCTGTATGTTGAGTGGTAGATGGTTGCGAACAGTCCAGGCAAAGATGGAGTTTAATGAATTCTGAACTCGTATACAATCTTCTGAGTCGGTCACAACAGAGAACAATTTTAGATCGTCGGCGAATAATAAGGATGGACAGTCAATTACGTTGAATATATCATTGATGTAAATGGAGAATAATAGAGGTGCGAGGTTACTACCCTGAGGAGCGCCACTTGTTGGTGTAAATCTGAAAGAACGGTGGCCATTATATTCAACGTATTGCGATCGGCAAGAAGATATGACGAAAAGAATGCTACGAGTTCTTCTGTAAAACCAAAATTTTCCAATTTATGAAGCAGTCGCGAGTGACTCAACTTGTCGAATGCTTTCGAGAAGTCCATAAAAATTGCATCTACCTGCTGGTGTTCTTCAATAGCTTTATAGGTATATTCCATAAATGTAGTAAGATTTGTTACAGTAGATCTTTTTGGGAAGAAACCATGCTGATTGGGGGAAAGTTCGTTTTGGATTTGTGGAAATAATTTCGTAAATATGCACATTTCAAAAGCCCTGGCAAAGTTTGATAAAATGGCAATCGGTCTGTAATTACCAATGACGTTGACATTACCGGACTTGAATACTGGACAAATCTTCACATTCTTCCACGCATCGGGGAAAGTATTAGTACGTAGAGCCAAGTTAAAAATCTTAGTAAGCGGTTTAGAGAAGACCGCTGCACAGTCTCTAACAATGAAAGAGGGGAACACTATCAGGTCCTGCAGTGACTTTAGCTTTCAGTTTTTCGCAGCGCGTTGAGAACATCAGATTCATCAAGTCCAATCAGGGAAACACAATTTAGTGGTAGCTGTACAGGACAGCCATCCCAATTGTCCTGCTTCTGTTCGTATACACTTCGGAAAAATGATCCAAAAGCATCCAGTATTTGAGATGTGTCGGAAAGCTGAGTGTTTTCATATTCCATAATGCCTGGTATGCGGGAATGTTTGCGCTTCTGGTTCACAAATTTCCATAAATCTTGAGGTTGGGTTTGCAGATTGTTTTGGATCGTCTGTTCATATGTTGAGTAGGCCTCTTTGATTTGTCTCTTAGTGAGTGCGCGAAGACGCTTGAAGGATTCTAATGCAATAACGGAGTTGGTGCACTTGCAAATTCTGAACTGTCTGTATTTTTCTTTTAAGTTGATGATTATATCCCTTGTGAACCATGCTGGATAAGTCCTGGAAGTGTTCTGTTTATCATAAAGTGGTATTACTGCATCCATGATAGTAGTAACTTTCGTATAGAAAACTCTAACCATATCATTTACGTTGTCAAAATGCCCTGTCTCCAAGAAAGACCAATCAGTATTAAAAAATTGGTCGTATAATAATGGGTAGTCCGCTCTGCGAAAATTGTATGCTTTTAGGGATTTCCCGGAGGAGAGATTGGAATGCAGTTGCGTGTCAATGTTACACGTAATGTCTAATGTTGGGTGATGAGCATCTTCGGGTAGCAGAGGTTCAGCCTTGCTAACCACACATGGCAAATCAGTAATTTCGGATTTCTGGTGTACAAATTTTAGTCAGGAAATCTACTAACGACATCTAGAGAAATCCACAGATATCTAATAGACATCCACAGAAATCCACGGAAATCCATTGAAATCCACAGAAATCTATGGAAATCCACAGACATCCATGGAAATCCACAGAAATCCACAGACATCCATGGAAATACACGGAAATCCATATAGGTGTACACCAGAAATCCACAGGTGTTTACCCCTCGAAAAAAATATTTTCTGACACACCCTGTACATTTCAAAATAATTTTAAATTGTGCACATTGCCTACCTACATATACCCATAAAAAATTGTTTCTACATCTCTTTCCGTTTTCGTATAATCTAATTTAAGACTGACCCTGTATATTACTTTTTTAAGTTGTTTGTTTCTTTTAGATCTTCATCAATTAGTGAACCAAGGATTTTAGCAGCGGCACCCTCTCAAAATACCGAACTCGATGGAGAGTACGAAGTGGACGTGGACGATTATCACCCTGTACAGCCCCTAGTCCACGACCATGGTGTTAGTTTTGTTTGCCTTTCGTCCCCTTTGACCAAAGTCGATCAGCATGTGATGCAGGTACATTTTTTGACAAAAAAAAATTATCGAAAGAAAACAAGCTTTTAAAAGGTGAAGATAGTGGACCTTTTCACTACCTCACACCGTATATTTGTAATTCTAGCCAAAAATAAGGAAGTTAAGGAAAGAAAACCTTATCGATTTCTTCCTTTGAATAAGAAGACTAAGGAAGGAGCATATCAAAAATCTTAGGTACACCGCAATGGGCCTCAAATATGGCCGACTTAAATTCCGGCTTACCAGTGTCGTTCTAATTTTATTTAAAAAATGTAAAACTATGATGTAGGGTAGACGTGGGGTAGACTCAATAATTTGTTGTTTTATTTTACGTTGTGAATAAATGTTGGTAGTTATTAAAATTGTTATAAAAATATATAATTCTAATAGAAATAGATAAGTTATAATAAGTATTTATTAACACAAACATCCGATACGCTACTGAAGCAGGTAAGTCAAATTAACGTATCTAAATTCTTTGACATCTAATCTTTGACAAGTAATAAATAAAAGCTAAAATGCAAGAAAAATATATAATTTAGTTAATTTAAGTGAATTTCATAAATGATCGGTTTACTACACGTATGTATATTATATAGTCACTTACTAGCGAAAAGGTGTTCCATTATTTCACTCAATTTTTGCCGAGATCTACCGCACGCTACACAACCAACTATTTTAGAGTCTTTTTCGATAAATCGCTATAGTGTCACTGTTAATTTAAGTTCTGCCACAATTTCCATCTAGATTTACTACCTTTACACAACTATCAGTAGTAGAATAAATAATAAATAACATAAAATAAGCTCCGTAAAGACTGACAAATCCACAAAATTTCAAATCAAATTCAAATGTGTCAAATGAATCGTCAAAGAGAACTGTCAAGGATCCCCACCCTAGAGAGCTTTTATGGTGGCTTTTCCGCCCACCATGCATGAATACATGGATAGCATTATGCTCCTTCCTTAGTCTTCTTATTCAAAGTTTTCTTCATGTTCGTGACTTTTTTTTTCAAATTGATTTCTGATAGCTGGGCCGTTTCCCAAACTTTTTTCTTTGATATAATTAATGTTGAAAGTTTTTTTTAATTTGAAAAGACACGTACACATTTATATCCTTGGCTTTAGGACATAACTTTCTTCTGATAAAATATATTTTCGTAGAAAAAAATTTAGCGAAATTAATAAAAATTATTACAAAGGTATATACAGGGTGTTTCAAAACAAATGCGAAAAACTTTAGGGGGCGATTCCTTGTTCAAAATAAAGGGTAGTTTGCTTTATAAACGTTGGGTCAAAAGTCAACCATTAGGGAGATATCGCGGTACAAAGATGGCGGAAAATTAATGTTTTTATTTTTTATCTTGAAAAGAAAAAGAGATAGACTAATGAAATTTTATGGAAGCGTTACTGTTATGAAAACACACTTTCAGGTATTTTTTTTACTTTTTTAAAATGAGTGGAAAGGGTTGAAATAAACTACCCCTATCATTCTTGTTAACGAAATTTAAAGAAAAATCTTATCAAACACATGCAAATGCTTTAATTTGGATAGTTTAGTTTGTTTAGAACTTTTTTTTATCTCTTGCGTTTTTTTTGATAAACTCACCGATTTGAAATTAAAAAAATAAAATGTAAATCATTACATGTCAGGACAAAAACATTTTTAGATTAAGAATCTAGTGATAATAACGATAATAATAATCATCTAGATAATAACGTATTGCAGTAGAGTAATGTCAAATAAAATAATATTAGGAACATCCTAAAAGTAACAGCGGCCGACTAGATTTTTTCCTAAAAAATTACAGCAGGCCACTAGATTCTTTATCAGAAAATGTTTTTTGTCCTGACATGTAATGCTTTACATTTTATTTTTAATTTCAAATCGGTGAGTTTTATCAAAAAAATACAAGAGATAAAAAAGTTTCTAAACAAACTAAATTATCCAAATTAATTTTTTTGCATGTGTTTGATAAGATTTTTCTTTAAATTTCGTTAACAAGAATGATAGGGGTAGTTTATTTCAACCCCTTCCACTCATTTTAAAAAAGTGAAAAAATTACCAGAAAGTGTGTTTTCATAACAGTAATGCTTCCATAAAATTTTATTAGTCTATCTCTTTTCGTTTTCAAGATAAAAAATAAAAACATTATTTTTCCGCCATCTTTGTACCGCGATATCTCCCTAATGGTTGACTTTTGACCCAACGTTTATGAAGCAAACTACCCTTTATTTTGAACAAGGAATCGCCCCCTGAAGTTTTTCGCATTTGCTTTGATACACCCTGTATAATAGGGTGCACCAAAATTTTTTTTTAATTACCATCAAAATATCGTTCCTTGGAAAGTTTGAGATCTTAATATTAATATTAAGAGGTGTCTCATTGTGATTTTCTATTTCCCATTTAAATAAAACGGAGATTTTTTAATGTTTTTTTGTAAAATTGTTTGCTGAAGTTTGGTGTACTATTATTTTTACGCCCTGTATATAACCAGCCATCACCAAGGATAATAATGAAACCATTTCATAATTTAAGATACATTATATCCATATAAGTATAAATGGGACTTCTCCTGTAAAATTTAAAATGACCTTGACCTATTTTTATTTGGGTCACTCTGTGCACTTCGAACGAAACAAAGGTTTATAACGATTTTAACGCTTCTAATATTAGATGCCATAAATTATGCATTATACATTATTGATATTATACGATATTATAGTGCTTTAAATATTATTTAAACATAAGTTTATAATAAAAAAAATTTGTGAAATTTTATATTTGATATTGAAAGTCATGTAATAATTTTTCATTAATATAAGTAGTAATAGTATATTCCTAAACAATACTTTAATACACTTAACATGTATTGTACAGAGTGAGTCTTAAATAAATACACATATTTTTAAAAAAATTGGAATTTTTTGAAAAAAAAATTGGATTTTCTTAAAAATATGTGTATTTTATATTATTTATCTCCATTTTTGACCGGTATCTACCGCATTCTGCTCAACTACCCAAGCAGCATTTGGACGTCGGGACAACGTTGTGTCACGCGACCAACGGTGGCTAGCAGCCTAATTTAGTACAAACTGCAACGTTGTTTAAAATCCTAATTCACAGAAATACAAAACTATAATAATATGGCGTCTAAGTCGCGTTTTATCCTAAATTGAGATAATTATAGTAAAAATATTATTTTTTATGATTTAGTTAGAGACATATGCCAGATGGCAGTAAAGAAAAACAAAAGTATTTAAGTGTGGAGGATGTTTGAAGATCATAATTATTGAAACACTTTAACCGACTCTGTAACTCGTTACCCAAGGCAAAAAAGTTAAACGCAAACAACTTTATTGATAAATGTATTGTTTCTACTTTGAAAAATACTAATGGGCCTTAAAATTAAAAAAGTTTTAAAAAATTTCTTGAATTTTTTTTTTTGAAGAATGAGAATAATTTATTCGCAGTCGAAAAAATTGTTTCCGCCTGTTGTTTAGGGTCAAATATTTCAAGTTAATATATTCAAAAAGCAGGAATTGCTATTTTAGGAACGAAACATTTTCTTATTCAACAACATGGCGGCTTTCACTTTGTTGTTTTGGAGATTAAAGAGATTAAGATGGAGTAGTTCGAATAGTCGCATATTGGATTAATGAAGTCGCAGTTCAGCCTTAACAGGTAGTATACTAGTCGCAAGATTGCCTAGTCATCCTAGAGTCTAGCTTGTGCTGCCCTCTATATTCTAAATAAACGAGGGAGTGGATAAAGTATCGGTAATATGTCGATGTATATTTAAATTTAGTTTTATATGTACCTTTCTTATGTCCCATTTTAATTAAGTTTTTTTTTTATAAAAACAAAAACAGCACTGAACTGTCTGACTGAAGATTTAAGGTTATGGTTCAATACAGTTGCAAAAAGGTAGTGGCTCGACGTCCTACCAACGTAAGAATAAGGAAATCTAAACAACGTTGGAATTAGTAAAACAGACGACGTTTGCATAACGTTGGAATAGGTCCTGAAAGTGACGTCGGAAAACTCTTTATTTCCCAACATTGTAACTACGTTGTTCGAATCACCTAAAGATCACTTAAGCAAAAAAGGTTAAAAGACAACGTTTATTCGACGTCGTAGAAGCTTTTACTTTGTTTTAGTACTAGTTCAACGTCGGTAAAAGGTCACAACAACGTTTACATTTTTTGTAACTAATCCAACGTTGTGTTTAGGAAACATGTGGTCGCAAGTCGTGAAAATGCTACTTGGGTAACTATTTGAGTATAATTTCTAATAAATCCTAAATTTTAGATTCTTCACCACGGTAGTACGGTGGTGATATGGGAGAGCCAAGAGAACCAGACGCCTTCAACCATAAGAGGTACCTTCCTGTACCTCAGACTAGACAGGTCGTCCACTGTACTAACTTGGGTCAGACCAAGTTGGTCCGCTTTGAAAGCGGGAAATACAAACGACAGTGACCCATTCTCTCAAGATTTTAATTTGAGTTTCAATCCCGAGGATACTTTGGCTCCTGGATTGCTGACCAAGTTGGCACTGCAGAGCAGCGGGGAACAAAGTACCATGACAACATTAGATGACGGGTAGGTGCATTATGCTCTTAATAGTAGATTATTTTCTTTTATCTATGCATTATGCTGATTTAAGCTTCATTCAGTACCTCGCAATTAGTGAAATAAATTAGTGGTTTCAATTACACTGTATACTTTTTAATTTACGATCATTCTCAATGTTTAAAAAACACAATTAAAATTAACAGAATATCCTAGCAACAGCTTGCGTTAAGGAGGGTCCACATTTAGTAACATGTTATATAACATTGCTATTTAACAAGCTACATATCACATGTCAAAATACCGGGAGCCGTCCACATTATAGTTTTCGTGATCATGGATCGTTTTGGCGAGAAAGAGGTTCAGCTCGCAGCAGCGTCGTGCGTAATTATTTTTGAACAAAGAGAAAGGAAGACAAAAAAAAGCGGTTTTGAGTCCGCCATAGCCTACCAGCAAGATCTAGTTTCAGTTGAACTCAATTAGCTTATCTTTTCAATACCTGCCTGGGCTGTTCTCGTGGTGTATTTCTGTCTTTTAATTAACATTAATAACTTAAAAAAAACCATTTTGAATTATCCACTTCATCTAAACCATGCAGTACCTGATTTGCATTTCTTTTGTTCCATCTGGAACATTTTTTTCTCAACTTTTTCTCTTTCCAAATACATACCATGAAATGAAGATCGCTGTCAGAAAATTATATGGGAAATGTCATCGATCGTCATTTCATAGCCATCGCTGTCGCCGGTTTTATCTTGATATTTTCAGTGAAAGTGAAAGCTAGTTCTAGACAATAACAAAATATTTAGCAACGTTAGGAAACATTAATATAGCGCACCAATGTCAGTGGAAAACATCATGTTTGAGCTTCTCAACGGATAAGCGGCTTTCGCTAGTACATAAACCCTATGTTTTAGGGATTTATATTGGCTTATAGAGTTGATAACACACACAACTATACAGGATTTATTATAGATGTCCTTATGCATGACAAGCTGAAAATTATTTTACTAGATGTTCGAAATACACTTCTTGATAGCAAATTCCACACAAAAATAAATTTAGTCACATTCAACTTTACTCTTCTATAGTTTTTAAAATTATTTTTTGATATTGGTAAATTTTTTTTTACGTAATGTAGACAAGTGTCTTGGCAAAAATTCTAATAGTCAGTGTTGCCAAGTCAGCAGATCTCCTACTAAATCTAGTAGGTTTCACAGAAGTCGCAGTAGGGAATTCTGAAATACTTTAAATACAAAAATGTTTATTTTTTAATTATCCATCTAACAAAGGAATAGTATACAGGGTGTTCTAATTAAAAAAAAACGAAGAAAAATTATTTTACATTTTAGAAAGTTTGGCATAAAATTTTGAATAATCTGTGTGATTATACTCTGTATTAATATTTTTGAAACTTTTTATCAAAACATATTTAATAATATCTTAAGATTATGTAAAGTGATCAGAAAGGAAGCCAAAAATTCGATATTATACAGGGTGTTTCGTTTAAAAACTGAACAACTGAATATTATTTAACAAAAAAAAATGAAACCTGCAAACACAAGCGCTCTTTTCAATTTTTCGTTGATAATGAATCAGTAAAACTGCTTTAGTGAGACTGACTGACAAGTGAGAACCCGCCTTAACATCCGAAGATACGTATCTAGATATTCTAATATGTTTTACGAAAATTGGTTAACAATTTAAAAATTTAGAGGACTCTTAAACTGAGTAAAATTATTTTTCGCTGGAATTTGTTATCGAAATACATATAAAAACATTATATGTGTTTTTCTCGTATTTTTACAAATTTTAAATTTGTTTATTCCAATAATTTAATAATAAAATTTTATACCCTTGTTTCATATAAAACTTCAGATATTTTAAACGCGAAAACAAGATAGAATTATTTATTTTATCTATACGTTCCCGAGTTTTATTTCAATATTTTAATGAACAAGAGGGCCTTTTAAACGAAAAACAGGAAATGTAATGGCGCTTTAATTTTGATTTAAATTTCATTAAAAATATTTTCTAAAAGCTTTTACATAATGGATTCAAGTTTGTTAAAAAATACAGAATAACAAACAAAAAATGTAATATACAAAGTACCATGTGAATGCGATAAATTTTACATTGTTGAAACATCTACAGTTGCATGAGACATGACTAAAACATGACTTAGTCAAAAAAAATTAGTCATGTTTCGTTCAAATTTTTGTCATTAAAACCTTAGTCATGTTTTTAATCTTACTGTAGGCTTGCCCAATAAATTCTTTCTTCTTTTTTATTACAGTCTCCACGATAACATCTTTTGTTTACTATTTTATATCTTTATATACGCAAAAATTTCTAAAAAACATATGCAGACATTTTTAGTGTAACTAACCTAAAGATATTTTTCAGATTTTTGGATCTAATGTTAATCAAGGAGGTCCATTTGGGCGGTAGGGACCAGGAAAAAGACGCGGAACTGGCAATGGTGGCCCGCAGATACGGACTCAGCCATCAGCCCGGGAACGAATGCGCTTTTACCATTCTGCATGGCAACGGACTCAGTGATAACAGACTTTTCTATGTTATTTGTCCACCAGCTGAATGCAGGTAACAGAAGAATTATATTATAGTAAATATACAACACCTTGTATAACCAATAGTCGACGAAAAAAATTAACTGATCATGGTTTACATCTAAAGTAATCGCAAAACAATTTCCGATGCACGTGGTCAACTTTGAGTGACAAACGGTGCCAGATTGTGATGGATTTATGAGATTAATCTTAATGTAAAATTGGGAAACAATATATTTATTATCATTTTTTAAAGATTTTTACGTTTTATTTTTAATTTAATAATTAATATTTTGGTAATTAATTAATTTATTAGCAGTATATATTATATTAGGATTTTAATTAGATTTGGGGTGTCTATGTTTTGCTAAGTGCTTCAATAATATTTTACAAAGCATCGATGTTGAAGAAGGTAACATTTTCTGTTCATTAAAATGTTGTATCCTATGTTATAGAGCTTGTTTCTCTCTACAATTTCCTGTCTCACAATGTACCGTTTGTGTCCGGGAAGGGTTCATAGTTTCATAGTTGTCGATTTCCGAGAGAAATCAGTACATGTATATGATTTCGTATATTTTTCATTTTATTGATTTTATGGAAAGCACTGTTCATTAAAATGTTGTATCCTATGTTATAGGGCTTGTTTCTCTCTACAATTTCCTGTCTCACAATGTACCGTTTGTGTCCGGGAAGGGTTCATAGTTTCATAGTTGTCGATTTCCGAAAGAAATCAGTATATTATTTCGTATATTTTTCATTTTATTGATTTTATGGAAAGCACTGTTCATTAAAATGTTGTATCCTATGTTATAGGGCTTGTTTCTCTCTACAATTTTCTGTCTCACAATGTACCGTTTGTGTCCGGGAAGGGTTCATAGTTTCATAGTTGTCGATTTTTGAGAGAAATCAGTACATGTATATGATTTCGTATATTTTTCATTTTATTGATTTTATGGAAAGCACTGTTCATTAAAATGTTGTATCCTATGTTATAGGGCTTGTTTCTCTCTACAATTTCCTGTCTCACATTGTACCATTTGTGTCCGGGAAGGGATCATAGTTTCATAGTTGTCGATGTTCGAAAGAAATCAGGATATGTGTATTATTTGGTATATTTTTCATTTTATTGATTTTATGGAAAGCACTGTTCATTAAAATATTGTATCCTATGTTATAGGGCTTGTTTCTCTCTACAATTTTCTGTCTCACAATGTACCGTTTGTGTCCGGGAAGGGTTCATAGTTTCATAGTTGTCGATTTCCGAGAGAAATCAGTACATGTATATTATTACGTATATTTTTCATTTTATTGATTTTATGGAAAGCACTGTTTATTAATACAACATTTTAATGAACAAGAAAGAACAGCAAATAAGACAAAACAAAATAATAAAGTATTAAAAAAGCTATTTTGTTCAAATAATGGCAAGACCTAAACAATGATTCCAAAGTTATAATGAATAGTAGCTTTAGTTAATTATTTATTGAAAATACGAAATAATTTGTAGAAATTAAATAAAAAGGCGTTTTTATTTTTGTTGTAGGGTATGGTACAGTGGACTCTACTGGCTCATCCGTGGGATATCTCGTCTAAATTCTCTCTGTGATAAACGTTTGCTGTGGTTAAGGGAGCAATACCTGCAACTGTACCATGAGGATGGGTACTGTTGCGGACCACTGGCTGCGGATGCCATTCGGGTACGTCCAAATAAAATAATTTCGTAGTACAAAAATAATAATATTTTTACGAAATTCATCAAAAACTATAAGCGATACCCCCATTTAACCTTTTAGTTACTTAATCGAGGGCACGATTTTTAAATTCATTGTTACCAACCATGGATATATTTAGCGTCGGAGTGACTGACTGGAATTTAAATTTCCCGCTGGTGGATTTAGGTGGTAGCTCTGCTGTAAAAAATGTCAAGTTGCCCAGATATTTATTTATTTCCTGACATTGTCGTTAGTTTTTGAAATTTTAGTTTTGTATTACGAATTTTTGGTTTAAATGGATCGTGTTGTGATATTTTAAGCATAATTTTTTTACTAGCAGACCTTGCAGTCTTGTCTGTTTTAACTAACTTATATTTTTGTTTAGTTTAAAAAAGTGAGTAGAAAATATTTTTTCATTAAAAATACGTCTTTGCCAGAAATAAACATAAAAATTATTATAAAAAAATGAGTGCGAGAAGATTTTTGAAATAAACATTTTAGGAAAAAATGAGTTTTTATTTTTTTCATATTGTTCCACCACTTCAAAAAAATTCTAAAAAATTCCTGAGTGTAAAGAAGTGAAAGACATTTTCTGGCGATTTTTAGTGAGTGACATATTTCACAAAAATGAAGATTTTAATTTTCTTTCCGCCGCTTTTTATTTAAGAATCATGATCAATATTATTTTTTCATGTTTTTTGAAAACCTGGAAAACCGTTTGAGTTAAAGAGCTAAAAATGTAGGTGAATTATTTTGATTCGAGACCAAATCGATCCCCTGAGTGCGAGTCAAAAAAGCCGCGGGGCAGATTTCCTGTATTAATCGAGCTATACTAGAGGTGTGTAGTTCGTGAACGAACTAGTTCCAATGAACTATTCCGACCCCGGAAAGAAAGGAACTAGTTCCTGGTTTCTCAAAGAACTAGTTCCTCAGGACCTGTTCCGGGATCGAGACTGTGACCGATATAGAACAATATGCGACGGCGACGGATCGGCTAGCGCGCGTTGCCTGATGGTAAGCCGTACGTTATCGGATCCGGACCTAGAGGAACTAAACTAAATAAAAGTCTAGTTTACGTATGAACAGATCGGGCCAGCGCGATCGATGCTAGGCAGGAGTGGAGAGTGCCAGCCTTATGCCGTATGTTATCGGATCCGGACCTAAAGGAACTAAATAAGACTAGTTTACGTATTGATCAGCCAGCGCGATTGATGCTAGGCAGGCGTGGGGAGTGCGAGCCGTATGTTATCGGATCCGGACATAGAGGAACTATTAAAATACTAGTTCACGGGAATCTATTCAGTCGGCAGATCCGAGATATAATACAAGGCGACGACGATGGATTCGGCCTTGTCTTACCACAGAAAATTGTCGTGGATACTGTTTTTGATTTTTAGTTTGTTTTTTAAATATTTTATGGGAATGTTTCACTTTAGGTCCATAAAATTAAGAAATATCTTATAAAACGAAGTAGATATTCCGAATTTTTAGACAAAAACAAAAGTCTTGAAGTGAGGAAAAATGCAATTTTTCGTAAAATTTTTGTAATATTTGCTCCAATTGATTTGTGATATAGTTTTTTAAATTCTGATTTGAGTTTTTTTTTTAATTTTTTTTATCTGCTATAAAACTTACCTATATGTTTTTAACATACACAATTACACGTCTCGTTATATCTCCGTACATTATAAAAATTATACAGATCATACTGTGAATAGTTCTGACTGACAACGAAACGCATTAGCAAGCAAGAGGGATGTCAATGTTAGTCGGGAACTATTGTGAACTAAAGACCTAGTTCAAGGAACTATTCCTCTGGAGGAACTAGAACTAAGGAACTAGTTCCTCCCAAGGAACTAGAATTCCCACCTATAGGCTATACCCTTCTATCAAAACCCATTAATAAAAAAAATCCCATGTCTCCTGTCTCTGTAACATATTACATTATAGTCTAGTAATCTAATTTGCTTTCTACAGTCCGAAAAAATCACGTTTAAATTAGATTTATGACACTCCCACTTTATTTCTAGTCGTTTGGCGGAAGAGATTGGTCTCTGGCCGGTAACAAACCCGGAAGTAATCAATCTGGCGAGACTTCCGGTGCCCTACGTAGAGAGGTATCCATGAAGATAAAAAAGAAACAGATATTAAGCAATCAGGCCTTCAAAGTGAGCAAAGTAAGTACCGATAAAAATCGCCATTCGTTCATAAAAAACGCGGCATTTTCGTGGAAATATTTTCGTCATAAATTACGAAAGAAAATAAATATTTAATCTCGATAGGTGCAAAATATTTAGAGGTTTTTTAAAGCCAATTATTGGTGGATTTTATGGAGTCATCATGGAAATTGTTAGCTATTACTTTAAAATTGGCCTGTTAGTTTATTTGGAGTAAACATAAAGCTGGGAAATTCATAAAAATTTACGGGTTTGTTCGTATATAAAATTTCATTTTATCACCCCTTTTCGCTGAAAGAGTTTTTAATAAAAATAATTAATAAAATTTTGTGTCCGTAAAGATAATTATTTTTATTCAAAAATGTTTTTCCCTTTAATTTATTTGTGATGGGCATTACGATTCTTCTTAGTGAATCGAATCACGCGATTCAATTTCTCATAATGAATCGATTCTTACGATTCGTTCATTTGAACAAACTACATACACATTTTGCGTATTACAATATAAATATAGATCCATAGGCCACGATTCAATTTAACGAATCGTATTGTAGGCAATGACTCAATTTTCACGATTCTTTGAACGAACGAACTGTAGAAATGAACGAGTCGCATTGTGATCCGATTCAATTTTAACGACTTTTTTTTACGACTCCTTCGTTCAAATTTTATGGATCCGTGCTGGCCACGATTCAATTGAACTAACCTTATTGTAAGGAGTGAATCAATTCTCACGATTTTTTGAACGAACAAATCGCATTGTGATCCGATTCAATTCCTACGACTCTTTTTTACGACTCGTTCATTCAAATTTTATGGATTCGTGCTGGCCACGATTCAATTGAACGAATCGTGTTGTAGGCAATGAATCAATTTTCACGATTCTTTGAACGAACGAACTGTAGAAATGAACGAGTCGTATTGTGATCCGATTCATTTCTAACGACTCTTTTTTTTACTCGTTCAAATTTTATGGATCCGTGCTGGCCACGATTCAATTGAACGAGTCGTGTTGTAGGCAATGAATCAATTCTCACGATTATTTCAACGAACGAATTGTAGAAATGAACGAGTCGCATCGGATCACAATTCAATCCTAAGGACTCTTTTTTACGACTCGTCCGTTCAAATTTTATGGATCTGTGTTATGGCCACGATTCAATTGAACAAACTGTATTGTAAGCAATGAATCAATTCTCACGACTCTTTGAACACACGAACTGTAGAAACGAACGAGTCGCATTGTGATTCGACTAAATTCCTACGATTCTTTTTTACAACTCTCACGATTTATTTTTATTACTCGTTAAAATGAACGACTCGTTCAGTCTTTGCCTAACTCTGTTATAGATAGAACTAAATTGTTTATTTAAGGGGGTGATTCTTGGACCTACTTAAATTAAAAAAAATTATAACTTTGATGTTAATATAGGTATTTTTAAGACATTTGATACATTTCTTCTATGCCTAAAAATACATTTTTTTACAAAGAAACTTATATTTTTATTTTTAATTTTTTTTTAAATTTGTACAAAACTTTATTTTGTTTAAACTTGTGTATTATTCATTTATTCTAAAATATTTTCGTTGTTGATTTCAAAACAGCGGATGCTATTGATGCGTTGCTTCAGGAACGAAGAAGTGAGTGATATGTTGAACAATATCAATATCACCAGCTTGAATAGAAATTACACTATTTTTTGTGAACTGAAACTTTTTTTAGCTTAGATATCTATTCTCTCATTGTCTTTCTGAAGCACTGCTGCCTTAAAGACATATTCAGCTTGTGTTTTTCATTATGTCCAATCCAGTACCTTGGTACTATATGTAGATTGAAGATAATTATTTTCTCTATTTCTAACAGGGTGGTTCAAAGTTGGCGTATTACTATAACTTAGAAAATAGAAAATGTAAAATTGGTCGACACTGGCACTAAAATGTTATGTATATGAAAAATGTCAATAAAACTATATTTTCTACAACTATATCATAGTTGTTATTTGTTTTACTTTATATACAAAGTTTTCTACATGTTTACGAATTTGGCAACTCCAAATTTGAAAAGTTCTCTTTTTACTATCAATATATGGCACCAAATTTGAATCACCCTGTATATCTAGTATAGTCATAACAACGGTACATTAAGTACTTTATTCAGGTCCATCTGCTATGCTATATTAGGTAATTTCTCTGAATAAAAAGATTAAGGAAGTAGCATATCAACAAACGGGCCCAGCTGCATTCAAACGCCGATGCCCGATAGATCATCGAAGTTAAACGACGTTAACGATGCGAGTGGATGGACGGGTTACCGTCTGGAGGCCATGTCGTGCTATTTGGATGAGATCGCAATTTGTAATTAGATTATAAAGTGTAATCCGTGGATTACATGTTGTAATCAATGTATTACATATTGTAATCCATGGATTATGATATTTATATGTGGTTTACCAAATATAATTTATGCATTACGTAATGTTGTCGGATTACACTATGTAACATGGATTACAGTTGTTTTGGTTACAATTGGTTTTCTTAGTCTTTTTATTCGAAGGATTACGTAGATTCTTTTATTTACTTTTAATTATATTATACACAGGAAATTTTATTTGAAATATTTCAGGATAAAAGTCTGAAATCATCGTTTATCGAGCCGGCGACCATGTGCATGGAGAGTAGTTATTGGCGCAACCCCACGCATCACCGACAGTCTACCCCCACCACTTTTGGCGGTGAACACCAGCCAGACGTCGCCAGGCATCACAGTTTGGGTCAATTGGCCTACACATCGTCCAGTCAACCAAAATTTGACAGGTATAGAATGTTCAGCCATCAGTGTCACGTCATATATTGTCGAACTCTCTCAACCACTTGTCAACCAATCAATAAGTCAATAAATCAATGAATCAATACACTTAGAGACAGACGAATGTATTAATCAATAAATCGATAAATCAATAAATATAAGTAAATATTCAAGCTTTCTTTATATCTATATAGGGATCGACATGGATCGACTGAGCATCTTTGGCATGGTCGGCATCCTCGAGTGGGATCAATTTTGTACGACACTCAACTAGATTTTGTAGATTTTGTCACACTCTTTCGTTCCTTTAGGTAAATATTTCTCTTCTCGATTTTTCTTTACAATCGTGTTTTATCTCTTTCTTTTTTAGTTTACTTATTCGAAAGGATCTTAGAGACTTATTCGAACAATTAGCAATATCGTATAGAAGTATGGCTGTGAATTCGATAAAGATCAACGGAGTAAGATCCAAGGGATCGGATCAAGGCAGTAACAGGAAACCTTCAAAATTTGGTAAGTTTATCTGTGCGCTGTTAAAAACTCTGTGCGAATCCAAAAACCAATCTTACTGAAATCAAGGAAAATCTTTGATTTTTCACGGTCGTGAGTTCAGAGAAATTTCTTCGAGTGTCCTAAACCGTTGGAGGATTCCCATTCCAGGTTCTTGAGTTCCGCTTTAAGTTGGTTTCCACTCGTGAAACAGAACGGTTCTGGTCCAGTTAGTGGAGTGTTCGCTCCTTTGCGAGCCGGATCGTTCATATTGCTAGAGACAGAGACAGAAATACTTTTAAGAGAGTCATCGCTAACTTCCGTTGACATAGACAGCAAGAGAAAAAGAAGACGATTTTTTTAATAAACATTTTACAAACAAAAAGCATTCTCGTGAACTGAATATTTCCAAGCCCAGAGAACAATCAAACCTACAGCGACTCCGGCTGCTAAATAAATTGTTTTCATCCGTTGTTCAAAACTCCCCAAACAGACGGGAATAGCTAATGAGAAATCGAGCTAATCCTTCCCTTTTGCAGTTTGCGTGTATCCCGGGCCCTGAGAAGCTGCTTAAAATAATAAATAAATTAGTATTATTTATTATTCGGGCCACAGAACAAAAAGCAGACGCGACGGGAACTCACCGAAGAAGAATTACTCGACACTTGCCTAATTTCTGAATAGATTTGCATTTGCTTGGCTTTAATGTATAGCAAAAAATGAACGATATTTTTCTAAAAAGTAATTGTCGGAGTTTTATTTGTTTTAAGTTTTTCTTCTTAAAAATATTCTCACATTATTATGCTCCATGGATTACTCAAGTTTATGTCGTTTACACGATGTAACTTTTGTGTTACATACTGTAATCCATGGATTACAATTTGCAATCGAGATATTATAAAGTGTAATCCGTGGATTACCGTATGTAATCCATGGATTACAATGTTTATATGTTGTTTACCAAATGTAATTTCTATATCCGATTCTACTATAATTTATGGATTACAATTTGTAATATTCATTAGACAGCCAGTGTGTTAGTTTTTTAGAACTCTTTTTATCTGATGCTTTTCATACACGTGCAGGTAGTCAGAGCAAGAGTCTCCATAGTTTTCATAAACGGAACTTCAATGGAGCACAGAATCTGACTTGTTACATAAAGACTGTGCTACAACAATCAACTAGAAATATTAGTATTTTATGTTAAAAATAATACTTATTTACAAATACATAATATATAAAGTAAAATATATGGATTTTGAACCATATTTTCTTTTGTAGGTCTTCTCACGAGAAATAGTAGACAAGAACTGGAAGGTCAAGTGGTCAACACCCAAAAAAAAGTATTCGACGCCATAGCTGCCGCGAGTATCTTCACTAACTGCGCTGGAATTGACACAAACAACTCTCAAGTCATCACACTTTCCACCTTTACCAAGTTTCTAGAAACCAGACAGATGGAAACTAGAACCGATGATGAGGTCAAAGCTCTGATCAACGTAAGAAACTACCTTTCTTAAATTTCTTATACACTCGTTCGCAAGTTAATTTAATTACAATTTAAATACAGTTAATTAATTACATATTTTATAATGTCTTAAAGAGACACGAGCCTGACGCATCTTTGCGATCCCAACACTGTCTGTCCTTCGAAGGCTTCGCCAGGTACCTGATGGACAAGGACAACTTTGCCTTCATTCCAGAATGCGAAGTACCCTGTGAAGAAGAAATGAGGAGACCCTTGTCCACATATTACATAGCTTCGTCCCATAACACTTACCTTACTGGGCACCAGCTGAAAGGAGAATCGTCCACAGAACTTTACAGTCAGGTAACAAAAATTAATATTTCTACTTTTACTTTTACTTAATAGTTATATATGTATTATAATATATAGTTACTTTAATAACAAATGATTACGATATGTTTTGAAATAAAGTATTATTTTTAGGTGCTGTTATCAGGCTGTAGGTGCGTAGAGTTGGACTGTTGGGACGGTGAAGACGGGTATCCCATGATATACCATGGTCACACGTTTACAACCAAAATACCGTTTATATGTGTAGTGGAAACTATATACAAAAATGCTTTTGTCACTTCTCCTTATCCTGTGATACTCTCGATCGAGAATCATTGTTCTTTACAGCAGCAAACAAGAATGGCTCATATTTTTCAGGTAAATATATACAGGGTGGTCCGAACTGTATTCCGGAAACTTCGGCACTATATTCTGCAGATAAAAATAAGTTAAAAAGTTCCTATAAATGTATGTCCTAAAATGCTTAGTTTCGGAGATATACAGGGTGTAGAAGTTTCATTTTTATTTCGATTTTTTCCAATTAATTTCTGAAGTAACGTCAATATTTGGATGAAAGTTGTTGTTTGGGAATTTTTGGGAAATTTGATTTTGATCAAATTTCCCACCAATTCAATTTTTCAATTTGAGCGCCACCTACATATGTTTTAACTGGTATGAAAAGTAATAACTTTTCATATTAAAAAACTCCCTAAAAGTATATTTTTTCACTCAGTATTTTTATACAGGTACGAACGAAAAGTTATTACTCTTCAAAACAGTTAAAACAGGTGTAGGTAGCGCCCTCTACAAACAGCAGTCATATTGACATCAAAATCAAATTTACCATGTCAAAAAACTCCCAGACACCAATTTTCATCCAAATATTGACGTTACTTCAGAAATTATTTGGAAAAAATCGAAATAAAAATGAAATTTCTACACCCTGTATCTCCAAAACTAAGCATTTTAGGACATATATTTGTATAAACTTTTTGACTTATTTTTATCTGCAGAATATGCTGCCGAAGTGTCGGGGAATACAGTTCGGGCCACCCTGTATAAAATGAAAAATTATTATAATTTATTTATGGTTTTTACACTGGCACAATCAGACGAAAGAACTTGATTTCGATACCATACGATTGAAAAAAAACGGCGTCTAAGATGGCTGTTGGTGGAGGTGAAGCCCTAGATATTTACTAAAAATTGACATAAAACTCGTCAAAAATTAACAGTAATTACAGAAAAAATAAACAGAAAAATGTACAACAATTCCAGACATACAAATCTATTTCCAAAAAATTACTGGTGTCTTAATGACGTCTAGTGCTTGACCTCGCCAAAATTATCATCAATTGTCATTTCCCAGCCGTCTCTTTGACGTCATTTTTTTTCGATCGTATGGTACAGTCATGAATAGTCATTCTAAATTTCTCTCTATATTTACAGAGAATATTTGGTGATCGTTTGGTAACGAATTTCTTGTTCGAGTCAGACTACAGCGAAGAACCATGCTTACCGTCACCCGAGCAACTTCGCCACAGGATTCTCATCAAAAATAAGAAACTTACCGTCGAAATACCGGCACCGCTGTCATCTATGTCAACACCGGTACGACCCATGAGCGGCATGAGACACTCCGTTCCAGGAAGAACGAGTAGCATCATCAGTAACGCAAGTTCCAGTTCGTTTAATGACGATTTCAGTGATGACGATTATGATGATGAGGATGATGACGATAATATTGATGGTAAAACCTGGATAATTGTAGTTCATAGCAAATAAACTTTTAGTCACGTGATTAAGCTTGTTGCCCACTTTTACGTATTCTTTTAATCAAAATACTGTAGGAAACAAAAATAAATTAATTATAAATTTATAAACAGTTATTTACATCAACAAAACCCACCTCCTTAACAGCACTTAAGGGACATAAAGGGCCATTACTACCGCTTTCCCTTTCAAAATATTCTAATAAAGTTGCGATAATGACGCAACCAAAAGTTTAATTGTATCGAGTATATGCATTTTGATTAAAAATTTAGATAATTTATTTTTCTCTCTTTAAGAAAAGACAATTCATGCTATCCTGGCACCGAACGAATCGCCTAGACCTTACGGCACTCACGGCGCATCCAAGACCAGTTCGACCAAAAGGTCTTTACCAGCAGATGATAAACTAAGAAAAAAAGGCAGTCAGATATCCAAAGAGTTGTCGGACTTGGTGATTTACGTCCAGGCGATCAAGTTCCGAGGCCTTAACACCATATCGCCCAGTAGCTCGGTCAAACAGCGACCGGCTAGGGCTTGCGTGTCCATATCAGGTAGTTCTATCGTGACCACCGGAAGCAGTTCCGCTTCAAACATATCTTCGTCGGGTATCGGTAGCGAATCGGATAGTACCTTATACGAAAGCGAGGTAAGAATTAATATCTTAAACGAATAAATATACTCTATGACATAGAAATTGAAACACCTTATAGCATAGCTTTATTTATATGTTTTGTCGGTTGATTGCCTTCATGAAGTGTAGGAAACGATAACATTTTTATCCCAGTCTGTTTAAAAACCAGACTATTTAATTTAAATACAAACATGTTTTATTACAGTTGAGGGTTGTTATAACAGCAACATAAAGCACTAATTCACCGCACAACCATGATAGCATCATCAGCATGTGATTAAAGCTAAACTAATACCTACAATTGAACGTTTATACAGGGTGGTTCGAACTGTATTCCGGAAACTTCGACAGCATATTCTGCAGATAAATATAAGTAAAAAAGTTCGTATAAATGTATGTCCTAAAATGCTTAGTTTCGGAGATACAGGGTGTAGAAATTTCATTTTTATTTCGATTTTTTCCAAATAATTTCTGATGTAACGTTAATATTTCGATCAAAATTGGTGTCTGGGAGTTTTTTGACATTAGAAATTTGGATTTTGATGTCAGTATGACTCCTACTTGTAGAGGGCGCCATTTACATATTTTTAACTGGTTTGAAAAGTAATAGCTTTTTGTCCGTACCTGTATAAAACTACTGAGTAAAAAAATATACATCTACGACGTTGATGGTTCTCGAAATATTTGAAATGGAAATTATCAATACCTGTCCACTTTCCCTTATATTTACATTGACTGGGTGTTGCAATTTCTATGTCACACACTGTATATGTCGTAGTCTCATAGTGTATTCCGTCTTTTCATGAAGATCCTAGTCACTTCATGAAATAAACTAACCTAATAACCTACCATTTGGACGTCGGGACAACGTTGTGTCACGCGACCAAACGTCGGGGCGCAACGTCGGCACAACCTCGTGCCAACCCTAATCTGCACTAGTTTGGAGAATAATTTTTGGGTCGAAACGACGTTGGATACCGACGTTGGCTAGCAGCCTAATTTAGTACAAACTGCAAAGTTGTTTAAAATCCTAATTCACAGAAATACAAAACTAATATGGCGTCTAAGTCGCGTTTTATCCTAAATTGGGATAATTATAGTAAAAATATTATTTTTATGATTTAATTAGAGACATATGCCAGATGGCAGTGAAGGAAAACAAAACAAAAGTATTTAAGTGTGGAGGATGTTTGAAGATCATAATTATTGAAACACTTTAACCGACTCTGTAACTCGTTACCCAAGGCAAAAAAGTTAAACGCAAACAACTTTATTGATAAATGTATTGTTTCTACTTTGAAAAATATTAATGGGCCTTAAAATTAAAGAAGTTTTAAAAATTTTCTTGAATTTTTTTTTAGTAAAATGAGAATAATTTATTCGCAGTCGAAAAATTGTTTCCGCGTGTTTTTAGGTCAAATATTTCAAGTTAATGTATTCAAAAAGCAGGAATTGCTATTTTAGGAACGAAACATTTTCTTATTTAACAGCATGGCGGCTTTCACTTTGTTGTTTTGGGAGATTAAGATGGAGTAGTTCGAGTAGTCGCATACTGGACTAATAAAGTCGCAGTTCGGCCTTAACAGGTAGAATACTAGTCGCAAGATTGCCTAATTTAGTCATCCTAGAGTCTAGTTTTGTGCCGCCCTCTATAATATAAATAAACGAGGGAGTGGATAAACTATCGGTAATATATGTCGATGTATATTTAAATTTAGTTTTATATGTACCTTCTCTTATGTCCCATTTTAATTAAGTTTTTTTATAAAAACAAAAACAGCACTGAACTGTCTGACCGAACAGAACAATGAAGTGAAAATTTAAAATTTAAGGTTATGGTTCAATACAGTTGCAAAAGGTAGTGACTCGACGTCCTACCAACGTAAGAATAAGGAAATCTAAACAACGTTGGAATTAGTAAAACAGACGACGTTTGCATAACGTTGGAATAGGTCCTGAAACTGACGTCGGAAAACTCTATATTGTCCAACGTTGTAACTACGTTGTCCGGAATCACCTAAAGATCACTTAAGCAAAAAAGGTTACAAGACAACGTTTATTCGACGTCGCAGAAGCTTCTACTTTGCTGTAGTACTAGTCCAACGTCGGCACAACGTTATAAAAACGTTTAAATTTATTTTCATACCCAAGGTAGGGAGCTAACTATTTTTTGTAACTAATCCAACGTTGTGTTTAGTAAACATGTGGTCGCAAGTCGTGAAAATGCTACTTGGGTAACTAAACTCCTAACCACGTTAACTATTCCTAACGACGTTTCATGAAGTGACCTAGGATCTTCATAAAAAGACGAAATACACTATGAGACTACGATATATAAAATAAAATATCTGCAAAAAAAACAGAACAGAAGGGTAAAAAGTATATGGCATATGCATCAAGTGGTTATTATCTTAATATTCAGGTAAAGCAACAGAGACCAAACATCAACTATCCCTGTTACCAATGCTCGTCCATTAATGAGAACACAGCCAAAAAGCTTTGCAGAAAGCAGGCTTTGGGCTTGGTAGCTCACACTCAGACTCAGCTCATGAGAACCTACCCTGCCCCGATGAGAATCGATTCTAGCAACTTTAATCCTGTGATTTTCTGGTCTTTTGGTAAAGCATATTTCTAAATGTTCGGTTATATCGTAATAATAATTATTATTCCTGCAGGAATACAAATGACAGCGTTGAATTATCAGACTGAAGATACGGCAATGCAACTGAACAATGCCCTGTTTGAAACCAGTGGGAAATGTGGTTATGTTTCCAAGCCTAGAGTGATGTGGGATAAGAGTCACGTGATGTACAGAAGGTATGTAATTACACACATAGCCAAAATTATTGCATATATCGTTTAAAAATATACGGAAAGGAATTTAAAGAATCTTTTTTTATACATAGCTTTGATAATCTGTAATAAACATTTTTTTGTTAAAATGGATACGGTAAACAATGGTTATCGTTCAGACCCAATATTATTACAAATTCTTGCACATTTCGATTTGTGGTCTCTTGGGTTTCAGGAGAAATATGACCATTGTTTTAGCCTTAAAATGCCTAGAAATATTATTTCACCGTTTAATAGAGTCAGAATATAGTAACACTATCTCAACTCGGCAAGTTGCAATGAAAGAGATTTACTACTGCTGTGCAAGACCGTCAAATATCCCTAATTGGACGACACAATCCCCTGCTTTCTAGTACTGCTATTAAAAATGAATTAGCTCGCCTTGAAGGAGAAAATGTTTCACGAAAGACCATAGCAAGAAGACTCCATGACAGAGGATTACATTTAAGGAGGCCTCTACGTGTTCCGAAGCTTAATTTACAGCAGAAAATTACGCGACTACAATGGGCTGAACAGATGAGAGCAAATGGACCTAATTGGAATTTCGTCATGTTTATTGATGAAACAAGAATAGGCCTAGAGCCATCGCACTTTAGCGGTTCGCGAATTTTGTCAGGTTAGGGTATAAGAAAACTGTGTTGGCCACCGATGTCTCCAGATATGAATGTGATAGAGCATGCTTGGGACATGCTAAAACGCCATATTGCCAAAAGGAATGATCCTCTCCGTACCTTAAATGAATTGAAAATTGCTGCGCGCGAAACATGGGAAGCCATTACTCAACATATTCTGGACAACTTAATTGAGGGCATGCCACGTCATCTCACAGCTTGCATTGAGGCTCGAGGAGGCAATACAGACTATTAGTTGTGAGACATAATTAAAATTGTTTTCAATATTTTCTGATTATAATAACAGCCTAGTTGCACTTAGATTTTTAATTTTATATTAGTTAGTCGTGTTGTAAGCCAATATGTTCAAAAATATAAAAAGAATCATATTAGGTCCAAAATAAAATAAAAACATCTTTATATGCAATAATTTTGGCCATGTGTGTATTTCTTACTTTTTATAGTTATTTAGTAATTATATAATCATAAATAACTATAAAATATTATCTCTAGGTTTAATCCTTGGGATAAGCAATTCGATGGAATACACTCCTCGCAGTTCGTGGTTAGTGTAGTTTCTGGACAGTACGTTTGCCAGAACAACGTTAACCTAAGTGTGTATGTTGAAGTGGAAATAATTGGTATTCAAATCGACTGTAACAAACAAAGAACGAAAGTGGCAAGTTATTTCAACATTATAGTCTTGATTACCTGTTTTTATTTCTTGTTTTTTATTCAGGTACATAAAAACGCCCTGAATCCGATATGGAATGAAACGTTTCATTTTAGAATCATGTTTCACGATCTAGCCTTTTTACGTTTTGCAGTTGTAGACTCAACAAATAATCATCTATTAGCTCAACGCATCATTCCTTTAAAATGCCTTAAACCAGGCTACAGACATCTTAGGTAAAAACAAAATGTATATTTTTAGATTGGTTAAGATTGAATAAATCTAATTTTTTGTAGGTTAAAAAATATGCAAAACAAGAACTTGAATATGTCAACTTTGTTTATTTACTCGAGGATTGAGGAGGAGAGTTTAGAGAATACTGAGAGTCGGGAGGATGCAGCTCAAATTGAGAGCGATTCCAAAGAAACTGACAGTTACGTAGGTGAGTGTTCTAATTAGGCAGAAAGATTTTTTTACTCACAGTCCAACTGAATTTTATTTTTGGAAGTGGAATGTTTTAATAATTTCTTTGTTCTTAACAGCAACCACTGGAACTCCAATTTGCGTCAAGCGAAAAATGTTTTTCCTTATGGTATACGGCGTCATTCCCGAGGAACCTTCCACCATTTTAAAAATCACCCAAGAATCCACGACTCAAGATGTCCTCTTGCTATGCCTACAGAAAGCCAACATCTGTACAGATAAAGTAAACGACTATATTTTGGTGGAGGAAGTAGCTCGAGGTATATTTTAGCGATACTTTTAGCTATATTTGTCTTTAAACTATATTGTATTGTATGCTAGGTTGGGAAAAGAAAGACCACAACTTGCCTGCTACTCAAAGAATCTTGGATTTACACGAACGACCTCTGCAGGCTCAGAGTCAATGGAAAGGAGAAGGCAAGTTTATTCTGAAGAGAATGGGAAATGATCCTAGTAGTAGAGCTTGGTAAGTGTCTACTGTCTTGGTACTTCTAGGGCTTGACCTCAGCCGTCTTTGACGCTGTTTTCTTCGGCCGTTTGGTACTTATTTGAGAATTATTACTACTAAAAATAGTAAATGTTAATTTAAAGCAATCCAGTTTGTTAAAAATTTCTGACTCGAAAATAATTATATCCCACTTCTGATATTTGGGCAAACTTTACGGCTTATTCTGTTTTATTTTAGGTTAACTTCGATCAGAAGCGTCGCTAACAGAGCTAGAGAAGCTAGAAAATCAGATGGAGCTCCTAGCAATGCTTGGGAAGAGAACGACACTTTCCTTGTATGTATTTACAACGTATCTCCAGAAATTCCGTATGCTATTCTGAAAGTAAGTAACTAATTTAGTTTTGTATACTATTTGTTCAGCGCTCGTTCAACGTTACGTCATCAGTATTTGTCAATTATAGGTTTTAGGGTCTGTCTGAGATCAGTTCATATTGTTTAGAAAATTTTAAGTATGTTCAGAAATTATTATTTGGGTGAGTCCAGTTTTTATTAAATTTATGTGTAAGCGATACCAATTAAATTTTTAGTTACGTAATCGAGGGCGCAATTTTTAAATTCATTGTTGCCAACCATGATCATATTCGGCGCCGGGCTGACTAACTGGAATTTGAAATTCCCGCTGGGGATTCAAGTGGTAGCTCTGCTGTAAAAAATGTCAAGTCGCCACATTTATTTATTTATTTTCTGACATTGTCATTCGTTTTGACACTTTAATTTTGCAATACGAGTTTTTGGTTTAAATGAATTGATACTTTAGGCTTAAAAATGGTTACTAGCAGACCTTGCAGTCGAACATTGTTCTTTTTAGAACCTCTTTTAGTGCTAGTATAGCTTAATAGCGGTGGCAAAAAACTCATCGCAACCTTATTGGAATATTTTGCTTGTCTTTCAATTTATAATTTCTCAGTTTTTTATTCTGGCAAATTTTAAAAATTAACTAATTGAACTTGAAATTCTCTACAATAAAATACACTTTGGTACTCTAGAAGTTTAAGATATCTAAAATAATTAAATATTTTTTGTACTTCTTAAAATATATAAGAAATTCCTATTTTCAAAGTATCAGCAACACGCTATATTACTTAAAACAGTTATTTTGTGTTTACATAAGACTACACAAGTTTTTTGGTAATTACCTCAGCACTTCGATGGGCAAAAGTGTTTCGTAGTGTCAATTTTCTCGCGTAAAATAAGTAATGATAATTACAAAAACAATGAAAATAACTATTACTGGAACCAATCTGTTTCATTTGGATGTCAAGTAAAAGATAGTTCGACAATATGTCAAATTGAACGCTCGCTAAATAAACAATAAATCACTAAAAATGATGTTTAAACGTAAAAGTCCTTCCTTGCTTTCAGGTGCCGCTGAACGCTTGCGCGCAGGACGTACTCGCGCAGGCTCTGCTCAAGGCGCGTCGACTGGAGGACCCCATGAACTTCGTCATCATAGAGGAGCTGGAGTGGGGAGGTACCGCCCACAACATCCAACAGCGCGCCCTCACGGACTACGAGAACGTGTACAGCGCGCAGTCCTCCTGGCAGACCATCGGCCGCTTCATATTGCAGGAGCGGGCCAATGTGACGCCCACGTCTTTGAGGAAAAATAGGATAACGTCCAGTTTGAGGCTGGCCACGCTGGATCGGATCAGCAGGGGATTGAATGTGGCCAGGAACGTGGCTAGTAATAGTATTAAGGTTCCTGTGCAGGTAAGAGTAGTATTTTTTTAGTTTATATGAAAAAATGCTGGATGTCTGCTTTTAGATTCGTTGGTCTACAAGAATAACACACTAAGTATAAAAAAATAATATTTTTTAATGCATTTTTACTGAACAAATATAACGTTACTTTAGAATCAATGAATACTAAAATAATTAAGTGAATCTAATACTTCTTAGAAGACTTTTTTAAGATCTTTTACAGAATATAGCTCTATATTCTGGAAGAAATCTAACCAAATGATATTGATAATGAAACTAGAATGACATGGTACAAAGAATACAAGGTATGATCGATAGCGGCTCCAATTTCGTTCAGTTCGCGCATACCACCTGTGACGTCACTAGGAAAATGAGGAATAAATAAAAAATAAAGAAAGTTGACAGGAGATCTGCATTTTTTGGGGTTATGGTTAAGAATTGTTTATTTTTAAGACTTTTTAGTTCGTTTAATTTAATAATTACTAAAACCAGAAGTTCCAAAAAAATATATTTAAAAATAATAATTATCTATTAACATGGATTTGGACTTTGGACCAAAATAGGTAAGAATACTAAATTTATTTCTATATTTGGTACCTATAAAATTTTTTATTAGGTTTTTAGTTTGCGATGTTTATGGTAAATAATTTTCATGTTAATTGCCTCTGATTTCACATAAGGACAGAGATGAGGATATAATATATGGAAAAGTAACCACAAGAGGAATTGTTACATCATTTAAAAAATGTTGGGAATTTTATTGTTTCCCATCGAAAAGTAGAAAATGCCAATTCAGATAAATGTATTGTAATTGTGATAGAAGTAATTCCAAGGGTGAAGTTTATTATGATTAGTGGAAGTAATTCCAAGGGTGAAGTTTATTATAATAAGTTACCTGTGCTTCTTTTTATATGTAGATGTTTCAGGTTTTGAGAATAAATCGGTTGAACAAAACCCAAAATTTAGAGGAAGTATGTGCATACCCAGAATATGCCCATCAAGGATTATATAGCTCAAATTTCCTTTAATGGTAGGCAATTATTCAATGCAAATTAACTTTTTAAGTAACTGAAATATTAAATAGTTTACAATTTGGTATATCATTAAAAATATATTACTTTTAGGTACAATTAGGGCCCGATACATTACAAAAAGTAGAATACCTATTATTTTATATTAAATGAGGTATTGTACCAACAATCAATTTATATTAATACCGGAGATTAAAAAATAACAGAATAAATAGTTCTTTTTTTTATACTACAAAAATAAACTATAGAATACAACAGTATTTAAAAAAATAAATAAAACGTTATGTCCCGGCCGAGATTCGAACTCCGGTCTCTCGCTTCCTAGCCCGACTCCTTACGCACTGCTTCACAGTAACTTGCTTAGCGATAATTCAATGACGGTATATAAACAAAAAAACAGGTTTATAACAATATCTTGACGATTTGAACTGGCGCGCGGAGCGTGCTGACCAATAGCGCCTGTTATCACCTGTGACGTAGCGACCAACCTGCGCAATATCATACCTTGTATTCTTTGTACCATGCTAGAATGATATAGAAATTCGAAACTATGGTTACTCTCGTTGAATTTGACACTTAATGTCAATTTAATAATATATTTTCGTACTTTTGTGCTTAAGCTTGATTTTCATGCATCCGTTATACGATGATACGATATGAATTTTATTGGTTGAATTTAAAGACTTCCATTGTTAAGAAAATTACGCAGTTTTTAAATTTATTGCATTTTCTTGCCTCCGTTCATCGGATATACGATTTGCTTTTGGTTGGTGTCATTTTATATTTTCATTTCCATAACGATTTCGCTGTTTTACTTATAGTCCAAGAGCTAGCAACGTTTTCGAGAGAGAATTTTAAGAAAGCTGGTTCTTTAATATATTTTCTGCTATGTTCTTCTGAACATGGTGCGGATCGTCTGGCTGCCGGTAGACGTTGCATTCACTACTGCGCATCATATCTGTATACAACATCTGTTCACTATTGCGCATCCCAAAAACGCCTTGTATTTCAGGAACTAAGGAGGCTAGGACAAACATATGTGTAGCATATTTAGTTTCATAAAAAAGTAGAAAAAGTAATGTGAAAATCGCATCATTGTATGTCTACACATAAACGAGAAATCCTATAAACCACACGAAAATGGGATATCCTGTACAGATGTGATGCGCAGTAGTGAACCTCAGTAGTCTACCGGTAGCCAGACGGCCCGCACTTCGGTCAGGAGAGCATAGCAAAAGATATATTAAAGAGCTAGTTTTTTTAAATTCTCGGTTTCCCGAAGGTACTAGCTCTTGTACTGTTATATTTTTATTAAGGTTAGATTAAATTTGTCAAAAAAGTGTCAAAGTTATCGTACGATCTTTCTTCGTTGATAGGCTGGAGCCAAAAAATTACGGATGAAAAGTGGGGCGAAAACGCTATGACCAATCAGAGCACTCGGATCAACGGATAACGGATGCATGAAAATCAAGCTTTAGGCGTGAAAGTCATTCATTTTTATGCAAAAATGAATTCTTTTGTAACGTTTGAAAAAAAAATTGTATTATCAAAATTAATTTTAAAACTTCAGATGTTTTTTTTTTCATTTTCTACTTAACTCAATCCAAGCTAACCAACTAACTATACCACAGCCAAACTAACAACCTTGCATGTATCTAACTAGACTCAAAATCAACGTTTCTTCTTGCGGGCCTTCTGTAGGTGGCGCTGAGCGACCCCACCACCTCCAAGCCGCCCCTGTCCTCTTCGGCCAAGAGCCATCTAGCGGCCGCCAGGACCAAACTGCACTCGGAAAAGGACTTCGGCCTGCCACCCAGCGGCGCGAAGAAGTCGCGCGAAGTCCACTCCGAAGGCGAAACCCTCTCGGACGAGGATTTCAGGGACAGCGAGATTTTGACGGCTGTCAATCGACTGAAAAAAGTGTCCATGCGCAAACTGAAAGAGTGGAAGTCTTGACTAAGCAACTAGGACCCTGATTGAACGGGGTTCGGGGAACCAAAGAACTTGTGAAAGATCGATTTTTGGAGAGGGTAACGATTGAGATTAAGAGAATAAATTAATAAACGCTTAAAATAAGTCGCTTTGTATTTTTTTAATTAAAAACAAACATTTTTTTGTACAGGATATCTCGAATTGCGAGAATCAAGCTTTGTTCAGGATACCAATATGGATACCTTGCTGTTCATATTTAAATTAATCTATGTCTAGTGTAATTGTAGCTAGAATAATCTTAATTTGTGTTATATAAAATTATTTAATACAATATATTGTAAAGTTAGGAATATAAAAATTGTTCTTTGAAAAGAATCTTTTGCTATCAGTTATTAGTATATATATATATATATATTTTTTTTCTTTTTAGTTACCGTAAATATATTGTTCAGGATAATGAAAAAAAATTCTCGTAAATTTTGAGCTTTTAATATCAATATTAAGAGGTGCCTCATCGTAATTTTCTATTTCCCATTTGAATAACATAGGGAAACAAATTCTTTTTTTTTGGAATTTTATTACTTTCTAATAAATCAGTATTTTGTAAAAATCAATACATATTCTTGTATAAAATTGAACGGTCTTCAAAAAAGCTCTGATATTAATTTTCATTTAATCGACTCGTTTGAAAGTTATTGAAAGTTAAAATTGAACTTCAAATCGTATATGAAAACTTCCACAATTTTTTATATTTTATTACAAAATATTGTCTTATAAACATAAACTATCAAATTTTATTACAAAATAATAGCTAAAATATGATATTTTATGTTTTTGACCCATTATTTAGTGATAAAATATAAAAAATTGTGGAAGATATCATATACGATTTGAAGTTGAACTTTAACCTTCAATAACTCTCAAACGAGTGGATTAAATAAAAATTCATATCAGAGCTTTTTTGAAGACCGTTCAATTTTCTATAAGAATATGTATTGGTTTTTATAAAACGCAGATTTGTTAGAACACAATAAAATTCCAAAAAAATCGTTTCCCCGTGTTATTTAAATGGGAAATAGAAAATCAACACCAACCTGACCAGAATTTTTTTTATCATCCTGAACGATATTTTCATGGTAACTAAAAAGAAAAAAATATTTATTTTAGTATACATTTTGTAATATCCTTGAAAAAATCTCACCCCTATAACTTTTTTATTTTTTCACATTAAAATATGATATTTGGTATGTTAGTAACATGACATAAGCACAAATTACCTATAACAGATGCGAAAGAAAGCGACTGCATCGGAAACCGCTCGGCAAACCCCACACGCCTATTGAGTGGTGTAAATACACCAGTCGTTTAGTCCGGAAACCTATGCTGTGTCGTATTCGCTTGCTGGAATGACATAGTGCGTAGTGGTTATATGTTTCTTTTTAAAAACGGGTGTAGGATTTTTGTTGAACTTTTGAACTGTTATTTCTAAGTTTTGGTAATTTGTATATCTTATTTAAAATGGGATACAAATGTGTTTATTTAAAGGAAAAAAGATATTTATAGTATAAAAAAATTAATTTATTTAACAAAATTTAATTAAAAAATGTGACAAAATAGTACCTTTCTATTGGTTCTATCGGACTTTTTTCGACTATATAAATCTTTATTTGTAAACTTTAATACATCAAATATTTTCAATCTAATAAATCATTTAATGATGTAAATAAGAGGAAATTTCTCACATGGGTGGTCAAATTCTATAGTTTTCATTATATCAAACAGCCTCTGAGAAATGGTTTCAACTCAAAGTGCCTTTAATTATGTTTGACTACATCAAGTCTTCAAATACATCAATGTGATATTTGTCTAAAATTTGCAAAAGAATCCGAATCTCTGGATAACTCGAAATTATTTACCCATTTAAAAGCCTTTGATCATGAAAGTGGAAAAATTTGTTCGTTTTTTTTACTGGAAATGGAAAAATTATTTATATTAAATTTTGATGAGTTTTGCACTGAAGAAAACATTCAGAGGCTGTTTGATATAATGAAAACTATAGAATTTGACCACCCATGTGAGAAATTTCCTCTTATTTACATCATTAAATTATTTATTAGATTGAAAATATTTTATGCATTAAAGTTCGAAAAAAAATAAAGATTTATATAGTCGAAAAAAGTCCGATAGAACCAATAGAAAAGTAACTATTTTGTCACATCTTTAATTAAATTTTGTTAAATAAATTAATTTTTTATACTAAACGAACTGATATAATATGACGAGCAATCTATTAAATTACTGTGAGATTATATGCCTCGATAACATATTGGTGCAGATTATTTTCACCCAAACAAATAATAACCCAAACTATACATTGATGCGGATTGTCTATGAACTCTTTCTGAAGGTCACAGAAACCTGAACGCGTAATTCGGTGTTCTTTCGCATCTGTGACATAAGTCAGGATTGATTGACGTATTCAGTTAGTTTGTCATTTTCTGTCTCACCGGAAATTACTACAATTTTTGATTTTTAAATGGTAGTACCATTTAAAAATTAAAAGTTGTAGTCGTTTCCGGTGAAACAGGAAGTGACCGAAAACAATTGATTACGTCAGTCAATCCTAATTTATGTCATATACTAACTTACCAAATCCCATTTTTTTTATCTGAAAAAATAAAAAAAGTTGTAGGGGTGAGCGACTTACAAAAAACACCCGGTATACAGGCATTAGACTAGGGTCTAGAAACGCTAGGAAAATGTTCGTAAAATCTTTTCAAGAGCCACAATAGTATCACTATAATTCAAGCCCAGACACAATGTTTTCCAGACTTATAACATTTGTATAAATCAAGTATGTCAAACAAAACTGACAAAAAAGAGACAATTTCCATGACGTCGCTTATATATCTCTAATGTATGAGTATGAAAATAGTATTAGATTCTTTGATTTTTTATTGAACTAACATATTGAAGATCTTTTATCTTTTAATTCTCTATTGTATTAAAAATATTCCTATTTTTCTAACGCAACTCGAGATATTCTGATATTCTAAATATGGTCGAGAGTTACCTATGGTGTTTTTTAGAGTGTATAACTGTAAAAATATCGTAGCAAAATCGTAATTTTAAGAGTATCAAAGTTAGTATATACACAATATATCTATACATAAATTTGATTTTTCACGTGATTTATGATATAGAAAAAACGATTTTGTTTGGTAAATATAACGTCTGTTAAATAAAACGTTTTAAATGAATGATCTAAACAAATTATTGGCAATATGTAGACATAGTTAAATTCATAATAGCTAATTCTTAGTAATAAAAATCAAATGTAGGATTCAAAATTTAGTATTTTATTTGAAGATAGATTTTTTAAATAATGCCAAAAATGGCAGGTGTGTGTTAATATACATTTATTTATATTTAACGCAGAAAAAAATTAATAAGTAACCCAATGATGGTAAAGTTATTTTTTACTTATCTTAATTCCTAGTATCGAGTTATTTTTTAATTTATATTTAATATAAAGAAATAATTGATGATGAATATTTTGAAAGTAATAAATAATTATTACATTTTTTACACATCAAATTATACTTGTAATATAAAAAATGTCTATACCTCTGTGGTAAATGTCTATACCCTTTTCAAAAAAGTTCAATGGGTATTTCACCACTTACTCTCCAAGAAAAACTACAAAATAAAATAGTTATTTTTATTATTAACGGAGACCAACTTGTCAGCAGTGATTTGCTAATAAACAAATTTGTCTAAGAGCCTTGATATAATGTCATTTTAACAGAACGTCAACGGTTTTTATATACGTATCTGTTGAAAAAAAAAACTAGCTATTTCAAATAGTTTTTATTTGTCCTTTGTTTTTTTTTTGCTTCCGAAGACGGGAAGAGATATACTTCCCGATACGTTAAGCATTTTTTTTGTGCTTTAGGCAAATTTGTTTATTAGTAAATCACTACTGACAATTTGGTCTCGCAGCAGTGTTTACAAAAAATAAATATTTTATTTTGTAGATTTTCTTAAGAGTGCAAGTGGCCAAATACCAATAGGACTTTTTTGAAGACTTGTAATATATTTTCAACAATATGTATTTGTTGAAAATATACAGGGTTGTTCACCACATACGACACGGAGTATTGTAGCTAAACGATTAGATTTTTACAAATTGTAAGTTTTGGGTTCGTTGAAGGACTATTAAAGCTACAATTTAATAATATTTTTACAACATACAGATTGTCCCAAATAAGCAAAAAATATTATAGTTGTATTTTTTTAAATGGAACACCCTGTATATAATTCGATTTTTGGATTCAACGATTGAAATAAAGGTAAATTTTGTTAAGGTTTATTACAATTAAGCCTTACCGTTTTTTGAAATATTTCAATTTTATGAAATTGCAGTAAGGGTAAAAGGCTGTTTGTTCCATTTAAATTAAACGTTATATTTATTATTGCCGTTTAAAGCTAGTAATAATTTAATATAAATTTTGAACACTCTGTATAAAGTAGTAAAATTTTTATTATTGCAACACAATATCTGATCAATAAATAATATTCAGTAAATATTTACTATTAAAAACTTTGATACCCTTGGAGAAATGAAGCCTTAACATTTTTACTGCAGTTTCATAAAATTGAAAATATTTCAAAAACGGTAAGGCATAAGTGTAAAAATAGAATAATATACAATGTGTTTCATTTAAAAAAATACAACTATATTATTTTTTGCTTATTTGGGACACTCTGTATATTGTAAAAATATTTTTAAATTGTAGCTCTAATAGTCCTTCAACGAACCCAAAACTTACAATTTGTAAAAATTTAATCGTTTAGCTACAATACTCCGTGTCGTATGTGGTGAACAACCCTGTATACTAACTATTTGACAACATTTAATAAAAATGTTAATTTGTTATTTTTTTAAGGGAAGGATTTTAGAATATGTATTATCAATATAATTCTTGCAAATAAGAATTAGAAAAGCTCATTTACAAGAACAGGGATATCTTTAAAAACCAAAAGTTTTTTTTATGAAATATTAAAATACATTACATGTAAGTAAATGTCTTTTTTGCCAACAAAATTTAACGTTTCTTTCTTTATCTACTAGTTTATTCCAAATATTCGAGCACTGGATAATCTTGGCCACCAGTAAACCCATTTTCAGCCATTTAATTCTTTAAATGTCAATCAATGTCTTTAAATCTCAATAGGTTATATTTTTCAATGATACTTTTAATCAGGCTTAAAAAACCTATATGTTGTAAATGAGTTTTACTTTGTATCTGTTTAGCTTTAAGCTTTAAACCCCAAAAACGTTTGTTATATTTTTTTAAGTTTAAAGTAAAAACGTTGCCCAATGTATTATACGATTTAAATAAACTAATATTAAATAAATACCTACTTTATTGATATAAGCGATAACAATTAAACTTTTAGTTACGTAATCGAGGGCGCGATTTTTAAATTCATTGTTGTCAACCATGGACATATTCGGCGCCGGAATAACTAACTGGAATTCTGGTAGCTCTGCTGTAAAAAATGTCAAGCTGCC